TGGTGTATTCTAAGAGTTAGCAGGAACAATTAAAAGAATAACAATGCTAAATAAATTGCAGCATTTTCAAAAGCACAGGACAATATACATGAATTCTGGGTTAAATGTGTCCTTTATATTTCTCCTCAGATCTTTCAAAGCCTTATTCTTCTTTCTAACTAGAAAATGCTCTCACCTTTATTTGCTCTATTAGTCTTCATAAATGCTGCAGGCTGAATTTCTTCTCTGTGAACAACTTCTGCACATAATTCCAGAGTCAAAGCCGGCCCACATATATTCAGCAAGGGTGAGCTACCCTCCTGATGGAGTGATTGAAACCTCAGATAAAACTGGGAATTAAATATTTATTAGAGAAAGTCTCACACTTATTCATTCTCTGTCATTGCCAACAGCAGTTATGAAAAGGATTACAAAACCCCAAACAAGTTCCCAATGAATTCCAATAAAACATTTACCTTTCTTATCAGTGGCTAAGACACTGAGCTTGTCGATCAGAAGGTTAGCAGTTTGTCGGTTCGAATCTCTGGTGCTGTGTAACAGATTGAGCTCCCGTTACTTGTCCCAGCTTCTACCAACCTAGCAGTTCGAAAGCATGTAAAAAATGCAAGTAGAAAAATAAGGGACCACTGGTGGGAAGGTAACAGCGTTCTGTGCACCTTCGGCATTTAGTCATGCCAGCCACATGACCACGGAGACATCTTTGGACAGTGCTGGCTCTTTGGCTTTGAAATGCAGATAAGCACCGCCCCCTAAAGTCGGGAACGACTAGTACATATGTGCAAGGGGAACCTTTACTTTTATCTTATTGGCAAGAGAGCTATTTTCTACCACCATCACACTTTTTTGTGTAAGTTTGAATCTTGGAATTTTAGGAGATTGAGTTTCAAAGTTTCTCCTAAAATTATTTAAAAGTCATGCCAGATGTATTTGAACAAATTGCTTGCCATAACATCCAGAAAACTGGTTGAGTCCATAAACTACAATGAAACAAAACATGTTACTATAATGTGGAAAACATATTAGTAAGTATGTTGGCAATTGCAAATAACTGTTGATATATCTGTAATATAAATCAGAAGTGAACAAAACTGTATTTGCTATTGTACTATTGTACTCCATACCCCAAAATTAGAAGATAAAATGGGTTAAGGAACATGTCCAGCTAGCTTAATGCATTTTCTTCTAGCCTGTGAGGTGATACAAAAGTGTTTTGCCCTGATACTGGAATTTATTCTGCCCCGGTTACAAGGCTAGTGAGTGCTGCCTTGGGGTTTTTGATGTGGGACACGTTAAGAAAAAAGATTGGTGGATTTCCTGCAATTACTCTTCCTAACATGAAGAGTCGAAAGAATAGAGAATTGGGCTGGAAACCAATTTTAATAGATTAACAGATTTGGAAGGGACTTTGCATGTCATCTAGTCCAGCTCCCTGCCCAAGCAGGAGACCCTACATCTGTCTCTACTTAGGATTGAACTCATAACCTCCTGATTTAGCCATTTGCCAGAATTCTGATCTGCAGGGTGCAAGGGGCTTTCGGTGGATCAGGTGTTGCAGCTCCGGTCCACTTTGTTGGTGATCCAAAGATTATTCCTCAACACTCAGGCTGCCTCACTTTCTCTTGCCTGTTAGTCATTCATACTGTCTTCTTCATTCATCTTTCTCATTCATCACTCCGTCACTCACTGTGCTGCCATCATCACTTCATCACTTGCTTTTGCGCCATCACCTTCAGTACTCCCAGTCCTCTCACTTTGTTACTCATCTCATGGCTCTCATTCATTCCATCATCCTCTCTTGCTCCATCAACCCCATTCAATTGGTTTTCTGGATCTTTCTTTTGCTCACTTAACTTTCTCTTCATCCTTCTCTTAGTTTTTCTTTTTGCTATTGCTCACTGTGCTACTCTCTCACACTTTCTGTGCCTCTTGCTGCCTACAACAGGTATGTAGGGATTGGGATTTAAGAACTCTGGTGGATGGACTCTCCTGCTTCAGCCAATGTACAAGCTGCCTATTCATTTAGCCAAACAGATAAAGAACCCACATAATGTCTAAGTGGTACTTCACATCAGATTACCACAGCAGGCCAAAGCAACTATAGGAACTGAACTGATCTTAGCCTCTGTTCTATCATCACCCCCAACAAATTCTTAAGCAAAACTAATTGTTCATAAAGCAAAGTAAAAGATGGAAAACATTGGATAACTAGGGATAAGATAAACATAAAGTTACATGGCTGAGTTCTGAGATGCCCTTAAAGAATGGTTAAGAAGGCAGCTTCAAGATGCAGTTAGCGGGGTTTCTGAATGAAACAAGGAATATTTCTTGGCAAAAGAAATAAGTAATTGCAGCAATAGTGGAAACAGGCTAATGGGATTTTAAAAAGATAGAAAATGTTGCACTTACTAATATTATGAGCAAATTTGCAAAGCCAAAATGTGGTATGCTTATTCAATGGCCTCAGTTAAGCAAACTATGGCTTAGTACAGAGGTGTCCAAACTTGGGAACTTTAAGATTTGTGGACCTCAACTCCTATGCTGGCTAGGGAATTCTAGGAGCTGAAGTCCACAAGTCTTAAAGTTCCCAAGTTTGGACACCCCTGACTTAGTATAATGGTGGATCAGCCTGTATCTTTTAGTTTCAGTGATTTTAGAATGTTTCTTAAACCAAGCACTACAAAGCTTCTCAAGGGAGAAGAATAAAGTGAGATAGTGGAGAGGTACAGTGACATCTTGTTCAGTGGTGGGATTCAATTCTTTTTACTACTGGTTCTGGGCGTGGCTTGGTGGGTGTGGCAGGGATACTGTAAAATCTCCATTCCATCCCCACTCCAGGGGAAGGTTACTGCAAAATTCCCATTTCCTCCTGATCAGCTGGGACTAGGGAGGCAGAGAAAAGATGGGGGCAGGGCCAGTCAGAGGTGGCATTTACTGGTTCTCCGAACTACTCAAATTTCTGCTACCGGTTCTCCAGAACTGGTCATAACCTGCTGAATACCACCTCTGATCTTGTTGTATATAGGATAATGTTGCTAACCTGTTGCTGACTATCCAGACAATAAGACACAACACTTCTGGAAGGCATTAGTGTGGGGAAAAAATATAGGAGCAACTAGACTGCATCTATATGAATATTCACCTGGAACAAACCTTATACATGTAACACTACTGATTGTGTTTGAACAACATGATCACTTATAGCTATTTTAACCAAATGGATTTTGTGGATTTGCACAATACCATAAACTAACTATACAGTCTGGGTTCACTCAATAATTTAGACAAAACTCTGGTTCATTAATTTGTGGTTCTGTGCAACCCTGAATTGGCCCTAACTTTCCACTTTCCAGCCTGTAAAGTTTGCTATTCTATGCTTATAGCTAAGGGGTGTGTGTGTGTGAGAGAGAGAGAGAAATTATTAGTGTTTAATGATGCATTTGAACCAAATTTAATTCCTGGTCATTTTCTTGGCAACTGAATGGAAGTGCTTTGCCGTGGCCTTTTGCCAGGTAGTAGGTTGACTTCCCAGTATTCCCATTCAGTATTTACCCTGCTTGATTTCAGAGTCTAGTGTTGGAAGAAATGTCCTTCTGGGTTCAGTTCCAAGTGGGGAAAAAGACTGGAAACATGGAGGCTGCTTGGAAAGATAGTTTAATGGTGGAGAGGATAACATGGTTTGAGTTCCTGAATGGGATCACATGGCTTGAGCTCTTGAGCAGAACCACACGGCGTGTATTCCTGAGCAAAAAAGGGCAGAGATGCTGAGAGTCCCTGGGTTTTATGCCCTCTCTGGGGCCCCACCTCTGAGTTTCCTGTTCCTGTGTAAGAAATGTATTCTGATTGGTTGTCAGACTCCCAGGGTCGGGGTCTTAGCTAACTTTGTAGGTTGTGTGCTAGGTTTGGTTGAAACTTGGTGGGTGGTGCAATGAAGGGCAAATAGCAATAGCAATAGCAGTAGACTTATATACCGCTTCATAGGCCTTTCAGGCCTCTCTAAGCGGTTTACAGAGAGTCAGCATATTGCCCCCAACAATCTGGGTCCTCATTTTACCCACCTCGGAAGGATGGAAGGCTGAGTCAACCCTGAGCCGGTGAGATTTGAACCGCTGACCTGCTGATCTAGCAGTAGCCTGCAGTGCTGCATTTAACCACTGCGCCACCTTGGCTCTTCACAAAGAGATGGGGTAGATCTTGGTTATGTAAAATAGGCTGGCTCAGGCCTTAATGGCCCATTAATAAAGGCGGGGGGGGGGGGGAACTATTAAGTTTCCTGCCTAAAAACATGTTTCTTTAGCTCAGGCCTTAAGGGCCCATTGACAAAGATGGGGGTCAGAGTTTCTGCCTCTCTGAGTTTCTACTTCTCTTTTTAGGGGAAATATTCTGCCTTTTTATATTTCTAAAAATATTTTATTTTCTAGGAGAGGGGTGGGTTTTAACTTCCTATACTAGAAAGGACTGGTAATCAGATTTGGCTCTCAGCTACAACCTGAAATCTTCCTGCATGACCCAAATTCTGCAGGATTTTCATCAGAAGATAGAGTGGGGGGGGGGGGGAAACTGAGTTGGAAGCAAAATGGTCGTCTCCAGCCTAATGCTAAATCACTGAGGGAGATATTAAAGGTGAATTGACAAAACAAACAGGAGAAAGGTAGCTAGCTATAAACTGGATGGGAAACTGGACAAATTTCTTTCTATCGTGGCTTCCAGGATGGGACAGCAGCAGGTGGACTCTAGAGGATCTTTGTCAGGAAGCTAAGCTAGATGTGAGACCATTGACAGGAGCTTCCATCTTCCCCTCCCCTCCCCGCCATCTGCTCGGCCCCACTTTGGCTAAAACCACACCCACCCCTTCTTCCTTCCCCTGGGGAGCTGAAGGCAGCAGTCAGCCCTTGCCAGTTGCCAGGAAGCGCTCGTAGGCGATGCCCTATGATTGGAACGCTGGGCTCATCCATCACGGCGGCGGCGGCGGCGGCGCGCGCGTAGGGGGGCCTGCTTGCTCATCTTAGCCGTCAGGAGGGCCATGCCGAGGCTACGGGTTTGAGGAGGCTGGTGGTCGGCTCCTTGGGCAGGCGAAAGGCGACCTCAATCTTCCCTGGCTTTCACCATGAGTCCGGCGTGAGCTCAGCCGATAGCACAGGCGTCTCCATGGTGCAGGACAGCGGCATGTCACGCACACCTTACAGCTCCAGCCAAGACATCCAAATGGAGGTCTTAGACAACCCTGGCCTCCAGGTGCGTAACTGCCAGCCCGCTCTTCAGTCGGCTGCACCGGTCGGACGCCTTGCAGTCCATTAGGCGGAGGACAGCTTGGTTGTGATGTGGGAAACTTTGGACGTGGAGATCGTGTCCGAAAGAAAGGAGGGGCGGGGAGAAAATCAGAAGAACCGCGGCGGCGGCGGGAGAAAGAGGGAATAGAAAGATCCAATGGATGCGACCGGTGGGGGGGGGGGGATCTTGCAAGACCCAACGTGGGTTGATGCACCCACATTCTGAGCTGAATTATTTCCTCTAAACCCTCCCACCCCCCAAAAAAATCTAGCACGTAACTGAGAGAAATGTTTTGCTGGAAGAGGATGGGGTGGAAGGGCACATTGTCGGTTTCTATTGATCGCCTCTACTGCCTCTGATCTTGAACTGCCGGCCACCCAGGAATGTCAGGCTCTTTGGGATGGGTGCTAAGGTGCAATCCACTGAGTAGGACAAAAGGGGGTGCAGGGACGGCTGGTATGGGGGGGCTTGGGCTAGCTAGCCAGTCGGTCCGGTGAGAAGTGTCGCTCAGCTTCAGGCCCTTTTCTTCTTCCTTGCGATCCTGTCCAAAGCCAACTGCGGGCGGCGGCACTTTCCGACCAGACTGAAAGTGGGGAATCGCCCTGTCTGGGTCCTTGAGTTTCACAAGGAGGGGAAGATATACATGATCTTGTGTTTGTTCCTTTTCATGTTTTCTTAGCACTTCCTCTCCCTTCCATCCCCAATACTCAATCTCCATACAAATTTGTTAAGAGTAAGGTAGTAATAGAAGAAGCTCCTCAGGCTGATTCCAAGAAGGACTTTTTGAAGTGCATCAGCCTTTGGTTACTAGTGCATCTTTCCAGATGTGTCAGAATTTCCAGCCAGTTGTGATCAGGAAAGTACCTGAGAATTAAATGACCACCATTGTTTGCTACTGAAGTTCAGATGTTTCCTCTGGCTCAAATAGAAACTCGAATAGAAATCAAGACTAATGGATTCAGGATTGGTAATGATCTCCCCAGTTGATGTGGGAAAATATTTATAGGGGTCTCAAAAAAGATAATTAATTATATATCTAGCTATGGAGAAAACCCTGGAACTTTGTAATAAAGGTTTTCTCCCCTCCTACGCTTCTTCAGCTACTTTAGCCAGGAAATTGATGAATCTAAGAACAAGTTTCAGATAGATAAGAATTGACAGAATGATGGAAATATCTTTGATCTTTCAGGATAGAACAAGATGCATGGATGAAATATCCTAATTTGGGGGGAAATGATTTGATTGCACTGTTCATCCTTTTCGATATGTTAGACTGTTCCCATAATCTTATACTCCTGTGTTTTAACTTTTCCAAGCAAGGAGTTCCTAATAGTTACAGCATAATGACACCATATTGACTTTGCTTAATGTTTGTTTAGCTGCTAATTTTAGCTATAAGAGCTCCCCAAGCAATATTTACTGGATGGATTATTGGAAAATGGGTGGTGTTTTTATTTGCCAGCACTTTTTAAAGGGATAAATTATTGGCCCGGACTAGAAATAAGGGATTCTCAGAAACTGCTGTGCCTTATGGTTTTGATGAGCAAAAGAGAGAAGAGAAATTTTGAATATTAATAAATCTAGACAAGCAGTGGGAACTGGCAGATGCCAATGTACTCCTTATTATGATGTATGTGGATAATGAGAGAATAGAACTCAGTGGCAGAATGTTTTAAAAGACGAGGTTGAGCTTCATGTGTCCTTTGATATGATCCCAATGATAGAAAATATCAGTTTTTTTGTGCTCACTTACGAACATCAGGAGTTTAAAAACATTTCAAGATAAAGGTAGATCTTAGCAGAAGGAGAAGGAAGAGAGACAGAGAGAGATCAAGTTGATAAGGAAGTAGCAGCTCCAATGCTCTCACTTAAAGAAAGAATCAAATGGAATGTAAGATGCTATTTTAGATTTTTCTGTGATGGATGAATGTGTGGTCCTTTGCAAGATGAACCTCATGCAGGTAGCCTACTAAGCAATGCTAGATTGAGTATATGTGAGGTGGTAGTGGGCATCTTCTGGCAATTCTTTTGTCCTGCTCTTCATGGTCCTCCATGTGTTGGATCCTGACTGCGTCTTGCAGCTATGAGTGACGCACGTGCCTGATTTAGAACAGGGAGAGGAAAAGCCTAAAAATACCAGCCTCATCTCTGCCTTCTTTTCCTGCCCTGCTTGGCCTTAGAACTACGAGAACCATGTCTGTGGGGGGCCTAATAACAATGGGTTTCTCCTCAACCAGCTGTCCTATCTCTCTCTCTAGAGACATGCTTGTGAAGCGTCTGGCTCATTCCTGGTCTACTCCCCCTCCCCCCTTCTCAGGATCAGTGCAAAGGGTTGGTTCATGGGGGAGGGAACATTCTCTCTCGGGATATGGACGGAGGCATGATTCTTAGAAGCAGGTGAAGGAAAGAAGCTTAAATTGATATCCTCTCTCCTAAAAAAGGAACTTGGTGTTGCTAGCTTGCTATGAAAAGAAAAAGCCACAGGTTATAACTGTAGCGGGAGTAAGAATTCACTAACCAGCAAATATATTGAATTAAGCAAGGTGTCTTCCTGCTTATGGTTACATGGGTGGAGGGAGAGGAGCCCACTTTTTCCTTTTACTTTTAGTAGAACTTCTTAATTTTCTTAAATGAAAATTGCACTAAATCCCCCTGCTCAATAATCTTCTGATTGGATTATGTCATTTAAAGTGTAATATTGATCCTCAAATGCTCAGAAAATTATTCACGATCCTCTCAGTAGGCTTTCCCACAGCCTTGATAAATCAGCTTTGATTTGGATGATCCAGACTGAATTTTAAAAAAGGCTCATGGTTAAGGAGCATGGACACTTGACAATTCACAGCTCTTAAACTGGATTAGGTATCTGGTTGATGTAATTTGAAAAACAATAAACTATCAATGTTTCTCTCTCAGCTTGGAAAAAAAGTGAGGAATGTTGGTTATGATAATTGGGCCAATTCTTCCTAATTTTTCCTAAAGAAGGCACCATGGTGGAATTTTTCCTAAACTACTCTATTGACCACCACCAACAAAAGTAAATATGACACTTGCAACCCTTACAACAAAGTCCCACCCTTTGTATGTGTTGCATATGTGACAGAATTTTATAGTCCAATCAAACCAATAAAGGATTCTCCCGTTGTAGAATTCCTGCTATAATGCATCTAAAAAAGCATGTGTTTTTCTACAATAGTTCTTTTTCAAATTACAATCTATTGCAAAGCCTTGGCATGTGGAACAACACTGTTAGGCTCAAAATTTTGTGCCTTGTTGAAGTGCTTACTTGTGTGAATTTAGGGACCTGACTTGTGTGAATCAAAACAAAAGCAATGAAATGGTGGCACGCATCATTAAGGTATTTACACTTCAAAAAATTGATTTGTTTTTGTTTTAATGCGCTTCTGATTTGCATTTTTGCTTTACATGCAAGAGAGGTAGTAGCATTGTAACAGACCTTTGTGACAGCATTTACATAGCACAGTTTGTTTAGTGAAGAGATTGCCATGCTATTGGGGTTTGTGAATCATGACATGATTTAGTGCTATTTGTGAATCAGGTCACTGTGTCTTGTTCAAAAACAAGTAAATTTGGGTGAAACAACATGTTTTCTGCAGCATGTAATGGCACCTGCAGCATGCATTCTCTGAAGAACTCTAGCATTCTCGCTGAGGAATTCTTGGAGTTGAAATCCACACAACTTAGTTACCACAGTTGAGAAACATTGAGTTAAAGAATATGGAACACATTTTTCAACTATCTGAAGATGGGGTCTATATTATCCCTCTGCTGGATTAGAGTATAGTTTTACTGCAGCATTGTTTGTATCCACACTTTTGGTAACCTACTTTACCTATTTGTGTATGTTTTTCTGAATTCATGCTACTATTGACCTTTGTATGTTTTTCCAACTAGGGGAAGTATAGCAAAAGGAAGAACCGCTTCAAACGCTCTGATGGCAGCACCTCTTCTGACACAACGTCAAACAGCTTCGTTAGGCAGGTAAGAGCAACCAAAAAAGAGAGCATGAATTATGCTTGAAAGGAAGATGGGCAGGGGACAACTACTAAATTCATGACTTAGAAATTAAAAGCTTGGGTTGATGTCATACTAAACTGCAGTTTGCTGTCTTTCTGACTTGCCTTCCACCCAGTTTTGAATCCTGTCAACTGCATGGGCTAGTTCCTTGCATTGGTGAAATAATTTGCCATGGCTTATATTAGAACTCCTTGGTGCTTTTACTATTACACTAAAGAGTTCTCTTGTTTAAATATATATTCTTAAATTATGAACTTCATGCTTGGCCATAAGGTATTTCTAAATTCAGTCGGGGGAGCTTTTCCTCACTTGCACCTAGCCATGGCACAAACAAATCTTAGCAATGTTTTTCTGCTATGTCCTCATGAGATTGCTCCACCTCCAGGGCCGTCTGCAGGATGTGGTCAAAAAAGTCAAGATGGCAGTCACAACACTGATTAAAGATCCACCTGCTTTTTATGTACAACACAACATGGCCACCACCTTGACTTTTTTGATCACACTCCCTGAAAATCTATCAGCCCAGCCCAACTTGAGCAAGCAAGTTTAGACTATTTTCAGCTATAATAGTTTTTAATCCCCACCCCACTTTTCAAGCATTCTCCAAAGACACCTCAAGGAAAGTGAAGTAAGTTTATCTAATGGATCATCTCTTGCCAATCACATCTACCCGACCCATCAGAATGGGGAGATAGGGAATGTTGTGGGCCTCATCCCTGAGGGAGATATACCTGGTGGGACCCAGAAGAAGGATCTTTTCCGTGGTGGCTCCCTCTCTCTGGAACACCGTCTCCCAAGAAATTAGAATGCCCCACTCTAACACACTTCCGGAAGGCACTGAAGACCTAGTTCTACCAGTGGGCCTGGGGAACCCAGAGTGGGTTGGAACCCGTTAAATGGCTCGTGTGATCTGCTGTCACCTGGGCAGTGGATGGGTGGAAGGTGGGGGATGCTTTTGTTGTACTATATTAATTTATTTGATTCTTTTTGTTAGTTTTTATTGTTTTAAATGTGGTTTTGTATTCTGTAAGCTGCCTTAAGTTGCTCTGGGTGAATAGGTGGCAATATAAATTCAATAAATAAACAAACAAACACAAACCCAGTGGCTGAAACAGAGGCAATGATGACCAAATTAAAGGATCAACCATAGGGACAGCAAATATTACGCTGATTGAAAATGTTAGCCTAGATTAGTTTTCTGTTGACTCGAAGACAGGTAAACAGCCCTTCAACTCAAAAATGGGGAAAGTCCATGGCTTAATATATTTTCAAAGCATTTCCCAACAACAATGAGTTCTAGGTGGATAGTCTTCACTCCCAGAATTCCACAGCCATAACCATAACCATTGCTGAGAATGTATTGATATCCAGTCTCCCGGAACTTCCCACTGGTGGAAACAATACTCTTCTTAATAATGTACTTTAATTTCAGAATTCACATATTTCTGAGATTTCTTTTCCACCTATCAACAACTTTTTTATTACCAGGTTGCCATTTTCTTCACTTGTACATGTGCAGCTCAAAGAAGAAGAAATAAAAGGGGAATTTCAGTGTGGGGAAGAAATTGGGTTTCAGTAATTTCTTCCTTGGTGTAGAGGTTTTATGCTCCTCCATCTGTTTGCTGAACTTTTTATTTGTTTCCTTTCTATTTCTCACCTGTTTTTAAAATATTGCCAAAAAGTCAAAGCCTCTAAAGTTCTGGGGAAAATAAAATGATGAGACATTTATTGTATCCTTTCTTTTTCATTTCCAAGATGTAAATCTACAATTTATTTTCCTACTCTTGTTTCCACTTCTTCTAAAGAGGAATCAGTTTTTCCCCATACACTATATTTCTTTTTGCAACTATAAGTCCATACTTTTTCCGATGTGAAGTAATAATGTGCTTGAGAAAAATCCCTACTGAAAATCAAAAGTTGGTTTTTGTATTTGGGAACACTATCTAAAGCAAGGGTGTCAAACTCACATTGTCAAGGTGGCATCATTTGATGTATTGGGACTTCCCCTCCTTCACTAAACTGGGTGTAGGGCGTGGCCAGCATGTGACCCATCTGGCCCACAGGCCAGGAATTTGAAAGCCCTGGTCTAAAACATACTCCTAGGTCTCTTTTCATAAAGTGGTCTGAAAATAAAGCTACAGCAGATGGTAGTTGGGAATATGGACTGTAATCCTCTATTTATGGACATGGGAGAAAGTCGCTCTGACTGAACAGCAATAATTCTTAAATAACTATAAAATTTGGATCTATGAAATGAAACCCTTCAAATGAAACAAACAAAATGTTAGAAAGTTATTATACTTATGTAGTTACCAAGCACATCTAAATTATATTAAAGTAATCAAAAAATATTTATAGTCACCAAGACATGTCACAACCTTTGGGCCCCTAATGCCTGGAAATTGAAAGGTGAAAGATTTGACACACCCTCAACTGTCCCTTCAGTATATGAAGGTTCTAAATGACTGAAGCAACAGAGGCAGAGGAAAAAGTATTCTATGTTGAAATGATGAACAAAGAGTTGGGTCATTCATGATGATAAGCCAAATACAGTTATCTGCTGAGTTCCTAAACTATGCTGGAGAGGAGACATGTTTCAAGGTTTTCAGGATGAAACTTTGTTAAGCTTGCTATAGGACATGCTGTGATTCTAATGTGTTTTCTACCTTAGAAAGGTGAAAAATATCACAATTTTGAAGCAGTAGCAGCATTCTGTGGCTTGAAGAAGCTTCAGTGAGTTGATTATAAATTTGCCACCCATGTATTATGAAAAGTTTCCATTGGTTTATCCAAATAGAATGCTCGTATTTCCAGATGTCACATCAATACTTAGAATGAAACCTTGCTCTAAAAGATGTTTGTGAGGATTGGGTTCCTGTTATTCTTGAAAGTGTGAGGATTCTGTGTTTCAGATGATAAAACTTAAGGCCAGTGATGTCATTTATATAACACAAGTTACTACAGAATTTTGTCTAATGCAGAGGAACTCCATTCAGTTGAGCTCTGGAACATCTAGATTTCCAGGTCATGTTATTGTCATCGATAAGGTGAATGCTTTGGCAGTATCCCACAAAATGACATAACCCAGTTCCTGTATTTATTTAATATATATCATTCTGTGAAGCTGTATTTAAGGACCACTTAAAAGATTTAAAAAATTTTTTTCATCAAACTTTGTTATAAACATCACAAGGGCATGATCTAAAAGAGTGATAGCATTTTTATTACATGTATCAGTTTAAGAAAACAACATATGAGATATAGGGAATTAACCTACATGGAAATAGTAAATTCATATCTGAAGAAAATGTATGTAGCATATTTCCTGCACTGTATATACATTTTTAATATATACATATACATATACATATACATATACATCTTATACATATACATATACATATACATATACATATATATATATACACACACACACATATGCATACACACACACACACACACACACACACACACACGAAAATATGAGGAAGCTCACTATGTGGCAGAGATTCTTCAGCTATAAGGAAAGAAAAAACTTCTATCTAGCTCTTTGGGCAAAGCTAATACTTCATATTTTAGAGCTCTACAAAGAAGAACTAGTTGTTTTTTCTTCGCTTGCTCAGAATCCCAATAACAAACACATTGGACTGATGGGAATGTGCTTCCAGAAACAATAACTTATTCTGAAATAACTTATTAGCCTTCAATGAACTAGTTATAGATTTACCTTCTTTGTGTTTTCCAGCTGAGATAACTTTATTCTCGGTCATGTCCAAACTGGAGTGTAAAATATTTACAGTGTTATAATAGCTTTTATCTCCTCACCCATCTAAAATAATGTTGCCATTGTAAAATTCACCAACATCATTATTGTCTTATGGGGAAGATGAGATTGATATTTTCTTGAGCACTTGCTAAACAAGCAACAAATATATCCTATATGATAATCAGAGCAGAACAAAATTATCTATTTCTGATTTTGGAGAATTGCCGCTTGTCAAAATATACTAACATCTTGGTTAAATGTTACTTGTTGTTAGAAGATATGAATGTGCACAGAAAGTTGGTTCACCTAATTCACTAAGCAAACCATTAAGCAAGCCTGTGGTTTTGTTTGTGTGTAACACAAAACTGTAAATCAGGATTTGCAATCCATAGTGATGCTCAGTCAAACCCAGTTAAATTGCATTATAGTACTGCTTTGTATGATTCAGACACTTATTTTTTTTTATAAGTGATGATGGTTGTATACACCCTCACCCTCTGAGATCAAAGAAACAGCATTTGCACTTCTCCACTACAATATTTTTGTTGTTCGTGTTTGTCTGTTTCAGCTGCTTTGTCAGTTTCTTGCCTTAGCAAATAAAAAATAAACAGAAAACATTCCTTCTATTGCACAGGGAAGCAATGAGGTTGCTATAGCAATTCTCCATCTGCTGAGTGTCTGGAAGGACAGAAGTGAAGCATCTATCAAAGCATTTATAAAGCAAATAGGAGAAACATATTTCAATTTACATTTAGCCCTGGCTCTGGAATAGAAATTGCCTGGGTCACCCTAAGAAGGTCTCTGTTTATGAAGACAGAGACAAGGGATAAAAGAATGCAACGTTGTGGATAGGACTAAAATCAAATGGAATAGCAATAGCAATAGCAGTAGACTTATATACCGCTTCATAGGCCTTTCAGGCCTCTCTAAGCGGTTTACAAAGAGTCAGCATATTGCCCCCAACAATCTGGGTCCTCATTTTACCCACCTCGGAAGGATGGAAGGCTGAGTCAACCCTGAGCTGGTGAGATTTGAACCGCTGACCTGCTGATCTAGCAGTAGCCTGCAGTGCTGCATTTAACCACTGCGCCACCTTGGCTCATAATAACAAATTGTAACCTGACCTATTCTAAACATTTTGAACAGAGAGCAATGTTAAAATCAGGAAATATGGACAAGTACTGAAAAAATCAATTGA